TTTGTAAGACACCTCCACCCTCACCTCAACCAATATTTTGGAATGGTAGTGCTTGCCTCTGACCTCAGCTACTCAGGAAGCTCAAACAAAAGAATCAAGCTCTAGGATGGTGAGGGCAAAAACTTGAGACCCTATTTGAAAAATAATTAAAGCATAAAAGGGCTTGAGGTGCAACTCAAGCAGTAGAATACTTGCCCAGCAAGCACAAGACCCTGACTTCAAACACCAGTACTGCAAAAAAAGCAAATATCATAGGGCCAGGCATAGTCCATAACTACAGTCCCAGCACTCAGGAAGGTGAAACATGAGGACTGCAAGTTCAAAGCCAGTCTGTGCTATAAAAAGTCACACACACACCCCAGCCCCAGAAATCTCTCATGTAACTTCCATGTCAGTTTTCACATCAACCGTCAGCAGCATTAATCTGAACTTTGTCGGTGGCCCCGTGTCAATCAGGATTTTATCACAGAAGCACAACCAATAGTGTTACCAGTGGAAGGTCTCAGAAGACCCCGTGAGAGAAGATCTCAGGTCTCTGGCATTCTGAAGGAAAAACCAAATGGAGCCACACAGATTACAGCAGCAAAGTTTTACTGAAAAGCAGAAAGTAGATTCCCCAAGAAACAGGGGGAGCAGGCTTCAGCGAGGCGGCTTAGGAGCAGCACCTGTACCTCCAAAGCACAGGTGCATTGGGTTGGACAGGTATTTATTTATACACTGTGGGGGTGGGGAGGGGAGGAGTTGGGCGGTCCTTAGGAGTGGCGCTTGGTGATTGACAGCACACATGAATTCACTCTTGTTAATTCTTGAGACGCAGTCCCTATTCATTAGGCTATAATTAGGGGCCCTTGTGCAACTATCCCAGTTGGGTCCAGATGAAAATGCTATTTCAGAAGGGGCGTCTTGGGGCTAGACCCCCTCTCCACCTTGAAATGATCTGAGAGGAGGCTACATGTTCACAGTGACCTGGTTTGGGTGCTTTCCTTATTACTAGGCTCCTTGATAGAAGGATGGGTGGATAGATAGATAGATGGATAGATAGATAGATAGATGGATGCAGAAAGAGGTAGAAAGATATAGATGACAGACAGACATGTAGATAGCTAGCTAGATAGCTAGCTAGATGATAGATAGATAGATTCTCTCCCTCCCCCAAGAAACTGGCTTCCATTATTGTGAGGACTGGCATGTCCAACTCCATAGAACAGACAACACCCTAGACACCCTCAGGAAGGGGCTGCACTACCTAATTAATTAATGGATTAATTAATTTCAAGGTGCTAGGGACCAAACCCTTGCACGTAATAGGTAAGTATGCCACTGAGCCACACCTCCAGCCCACAGGCAGAATTTAAACAGGATAGAAAGAAAACTTCCCAAGTGCCAGACCAGATCCACAATCCCAGAGTGGACTACCTGGTCTGTTTTGTACTTAAAAAAAAAAAATTTGGCAGCATTTGTGTTTAAAACTCAGGGCCTCATACTTGCTAGGCAGGGGCTCTTACTCCTCCAGCCCTTTTTTTTGTGTCGGGTTTTTTTGAGGTAGGGTCTCGAGAACTATTTGCCTGGGCTGGCTGCATTGTACTTTATATGAAATGTAATCAGGCAGTTTTGTGTGTCTGGCTCCCTTTTTGTGAGATTCCTTCTTGGTGTTTGGATGTGTTCATAGTAAAGCACTTCATTTTCATTGTGTGGGCGTACCATAACCTACACATCTGTTCTCCAGTGGTCTGACGTGTAGGCAGCTTCTAGTTCAGAGTGATTTTGAATACTGCATCTAGAACATCCCTGTATATGTTTTACGGTGAATAGAGAAATGCCTTCCCATCGGGTATCTATCTAGAGTTGGAATTTCTAGGTCATCAGGTGTACAGTTTTTACTAGAAGATGACAAACAGGCCCATGGCACAGGGCCTCCCTTGATTCAATCTCATCACTTTATCCTGTTTGGGGATGGGGGGATAGAACAAGTGTATGTAGGTGTGTTGATTCTATGCAGTCTCAAGAGTGATGCTCAGCCTGGACAGATTCACACAGAGAGGGCTTTTTTTTCTTCTTTTTGACAGTACTGGAGTTTGAACTTAGGGGCTCATGCCTGCTGACCGCACCTGAGGACTCTGCCGGCCCTTTTTTGTGTTGAATATTTTTGAGATAGGGTCTCTTGAATTTTTTGCCTGGGCTGGCTTCAAACTGTGATCCCCCTGATCTCTGCCTCCTGAGTAGTTAGGATTACAGGTGTGAGCCACTGGTACCTGGCCATAGAGGTCCTTTACCTCTGAAGACACTTGGAAGATAGTCTTAGGGTGGGTGGTATGGTTGTGTATTTTTAACAGTGAACTTTCTTTTCTTACTCTTTCTCCTTTTTTTGTGTGTGTGTGTGGGCAATGCTGGGGATCATATCCAGGGTTTCATGTATACTAGGCAAGTGCTCTACCTTCTGAGCTACACACTTCACCCTTACTCTTTTTTGGGGGGGGGGTACTGGGATTTGAACTCAGGGCTTACACCTAGCTCTTTTTTTGTGAAGGGTTTTTCGAGATAGGGTTTCATGAACTATTTGCCCAGGCTGACTGAACCACGATCCTCCTGATCTCTGCTTCCTGAGTAGCTAGGATTATAGGCGTGAGCCACCAGTGCCTGACACTTTTTATTTTTATTTTTTTTAACAGAAGATGCAAATAGACAATGATGTCAGGCCAGAGTAAATAATCGTCTGGTTTTCATTACATTGACCTTTACGTCTCTCCCCATAGGGCAAAGTACCACTGGTTTTAAATAAAATTTGTTTAAACAAAGCGAGTAATTTTAAAGAGGACTATTAAATCAACAGTAGTATAAGTGACATGTCTGTGTGACAAACTGTAAAGGACATTTGAGCTTTAAGGTGGCAGGTAACTGGAAAACAATGAAAGTTATAGGGAAGGGACCAGTCACTGGTCACTAACTGGGAATGTGCCCTTGGCCACTTCCTTCCTTGGGCCTAGGTCTTTTCACCTGCCAAATAAAGACCTTTAGCCCTTTTCTTTGCAAAAGCCTCTTCAGAATGAAACTTAATATCTATATACCTCATCTGGTCAGAGTTGAGTTTCTATTATTGGTAAGTTTATCACACGTTAGTCACCACACCAGAAGTCTTGAGTCAAACTGGCTTGAACTCAGGGCCTTCACTTTGAGCCACTCCACCAGCTCTATTTTTGTGAAGGGTTTCTTGAGATAGGGTGGTACAGAACTATTTCCCCTGTCTGGCTTTGAACCATGATCCTCCTCATCTCTGCCTCCTGAGTAGCTAGGATTACAGGCATGAGCCACCTGCATCCAGAAAAGTGGCCTTTTTTTTTTTTTTTAACCCCCAGCCCTGGGCTAGCACATTTCTAGGGCAATGGATTAAGTAGAAGGTGACAGAAGTGTCCTGAAATTGACTTTGATACTGTTTCTGACCCTAAAAGGAAAGTTTTTGTATCAGCCAATTTCCCAAACACCTGTCCTGGAGCTGAGCTGTTAAGACTACACAGGTTCTTTCTTTCCTTTTTTTCTTTCTTTCTAGGACTCTGGAGTCTTCCATCCTTCTTCCCTCACTCTCTCTTCCCTGTTTTTCTTTTGACAGGGTCTGTGAAAGTATCCCAGGTTGGCTTGGAACTTGGGATCCTCCTACCTCAGCCACTTGAGTTCTAGGTTTTACAGGTGTGCTCCACCCATCATGTCCAGAGTCTTACAACTAAAAAGCCCTTTCCTTTTCTCCTGACGTTTCACCACTCGGCAGGAAAGAGAAGGATTTTAAATATATTTTAAAAAATTTTTATTTTATTCATATGTGGATTTTAAATATTTTTTAACATTTACTTGTTTGTTGCCACTGTTCAAAGTTCTCCAGCACTTAATACACTTAAAAAAAATGAAAAACACTTAGAAAGGCACGGTAACGCTTGGCTTATTTTGGAAGCAGACTGTGTTTTACTAGCGGCTTCTGAGACCAAAATGCAACTGCGCAAAGGTGGTCCTCCAATGAGGGAGAAGGAGGTAGTGACTGCAGAACAGGTGGCGGGGAGTGGAGTGGCCTTGAGTCCTGGGGGGCTCCGGCTGCAGGATCGCAGCACCCTGTTCTGCGTGGCGTTCGCCCAGAGCCCATATATTCAGCAGTTGGGGGGTGGCTAGGAGACTGGTACCAACCCCAACCCCAGGGCACCCCTACATTTTCTCCTAATCTTAGCACGTCCCTACCCCACCACTGAGGTTTTTAACATACACTTTTGTCGCAATAGCCTCGACCAACCCGAAAGAGAATCTTGGGGTCCCATTTTGCAGTCGAGAAAACTGAGGTTTGGCGTGGTATCTGGCAAACGTCCTCAAGGACTTTGGGACATTAAAACCTCTCCCGAGGCTCCTTCGGCAGGCGGTCCCCCTCTTTCAGCGACCTCAGCGTCGCCAACTGATCCGCCTAATCTTTGCTCGATGATCGACGGGCTCCGCCTCCTAAGCACCCCGGGGTCGGCCATCCAGGGCGCTCGGTGGCACAGGTCCCGACCAAGATCCCCAACCTGGTTCCTTCTCGCGGGAGGCTTTTCCTGACTTTCCGGCCGGGGACAGTGGCTTCAGGACTGCTCCGTGTTCCCATGGTCGTCTGCTCTCCAGGAACAGGAGATGGCGACTTTACTAGCATTTACTCCCGGGGCTCCAGGGAAAGAAAGGGGCGAGTCCCCAAGCCTGGGGGTGGGGGAACCCCTGCCCGGTTCCTTGCGCCACCGTGGCGACCCCAACGACGCTTACATTAGGCTCCCGAGGCTAGGAGCCGGGGAGCGACGCGCGCAGGGGCCCCCAGTCTCCAGATTGCACACGCGGGCTGGGGGCGCAGGCTGGGACCCTGCGGACTCCGCCGGGGGGCGTGGCCGAGGCAGGCGTGGTCTGTGTAATCAGGGGGCGTGGTTCCAGGCTCGGGGGCGGGGCCAGCGCCTTCTGGAGCGCTGGGCAGCCACGGCGCCACAGTCCGTCCTCCGCGCCCGCGCCGCCAGCATGACCGACGCGCTGCTGCCCGCGGCCCCGCAGCCGCTGGAGAAGGAAGGCGACGACTACTTTCGGAAGGTTGGGCTTCTCTGGGAGGGTGGTGAGGTTTGAACTGCGAGCTCCGGACCTTCCCAGCCCCAGGTTGCGGAGGGGGCTGCGGGAGCGCGCGGCCGGGGTCGGCCAGGCCCGGAGGGGGAGGGGAAAGGGGGAGGGGGCGCTCGGGTCCGGGGCGGGCCCGGCGGAGGGGACGGAAGCGGAGGGCGCAGCGCTGTCCCCCCGAGCGCGGAGCAGGTGCCAGCCGGGTTGCGGAGAGCCCGTGCAGCGCATGGGGCCGTCCTCCCCGCGCGCAGGTGTGACCTGGGGACCCTGGGGGGGGAGGAGGTCTGCAGGGGGTGCTCTGGGTCGCCCTGCTGGCCATCCCGCATGCCCTCCCCACCCCCCTTGGGCAGGCATAGGACCTGTTCCAGGCCCCACCTCTCGGCATGGTGCGACCCGAGCGCGCGGCCAGGGCGCTGGGGAGAGAAGACCATCCCAGGCCAGTTGTTGTCCTTCCTTTGCTTCCAAAATGTATTCAGTGTCCGCCTCCTGGGACAGAGGAGGAAGCGGCTGGTGGAAGGGGACCTCGGGCATCGCCCCCTAGGTTGTCCCTAGTCCTGGGCCGGAGCGCGGCTGTCTCGCCCCTTCTCACCGTATGGCGAAGCGGATTTATCTGTAACTGGTTGTTGGAGGGGCCAGTGCGCCTCCCCCCACCCCAACCTCGGCGAGGGGGCACTTCCGTATTCACCTGCTGCTGACTCCAACCTCGGAGTAACAGGCCCTCAAAAGCGACCCCAGCCCGACTCCGCACCCACTGAGCGCTGGAATTGCCAGCAGGTGACAAAGCCTGGGTGACCAAGACGCTTTGGAGTTGGAAGTCACGGTGGGGGAGGTCAATGCCTTCTTCCCTGAGGGTCCCTTGGGCTGGGATGTAGCTCGGTGGTACAGCGCTTGCCTAGCATGCGTGAGGCCCTGGGTTCGATCCCAGCACCAAAAAAGAAAAGACAAAAAAAAAAAAAAAAAAAAAAAAAAAAAAACCTCTCCCTGAGGGTCCCTGGTTGGCTAGGGGTCACCGGGTGGATTGAGAGATTGTGGTTGATATTGGTATAACAGATGTGAATGAAGGCACAGCGCGTAATTACCAATAGGGAAGTGAAACTCCTCTAACAGGGCAATCAATTCTTAATTGTTCACAGCTTAGCCATCCAGGTCATAAATGACGGCATCCTCCTCCCCCCCCCCATGTGACCCTGACTACTTTGGGCTTTTGCTCTTTGGTGATGGCAGGATAGGAGGGAAATAGGCAAACAGGTGGAGACAGAGTGGGAAATTTTCTTTTTCGTTAAGTTGCTTTTAGCATTTTTTTTTAAAAGAAGTTTTGTTGAAGTATATTTAAGTTCAAAGATGTCATCATGGAATTACAGGATACAACTTCTAATTATGTGTGGCGTTTGGGACAGAGGATCACAGGCCATAGAATTGTAGAAACAGGCTTGGTCTGAGAAACCCTAGATGTCCGAGGGCCCCAGGGCCCAACTGCCACCCCCACAAAATTGCTTTGTGGCTTCCAGCAAGTTGCTGCTTCTTTCAGGGACTTCAGCTCCTCACTGGATGGCTTGTCCCTGGAACAGGTGGCTTTGTAGATCTATGGCAGCATCTGGGGGTAAAGGATGAGTGGTGGTCCTAAGCCTTCTAGAACTAGTTTCTTTCTGGAGCCCTCTGGGAGCCTTCCAGGGCTGTGAGTCCCAGGGTAGGATGGCAAAGGAGCAGAGAAAAGCTGCATGGCTTGGTATTTTTTTTGATACAGTTTCTCTGGTGGTGGATGGGTGCAAAATACGATGAATCACTACCTCACAATTAGAAGCATGTATTTTGAAAATGAGACCTTGGAACAATCGCTGTGCTTTATGAGTTAAGTCATCCAGTCCTCTTGGTATTTTTTTTTTTTTTTTTGCATCAAGAAGATAAAAGCTGAATCTTTCCTGATCTGTGATCTGAGCCAATTTAACCCAAGACAAATGATCACTGAGTGAAAGGCGACATTTATACAGGTGAAAGAGGGAGGGAACAGCCTCTGCAAAGGTCTGGGATTGTGGGAACACTCTGAGCTGTGGAGGTACGTGGGAAGGAGGCAGTTCAAGGTTACAATCCTATGGAACCAGGGAACTTTGGTAGTCTTTGGAAGTATTTACGACAGGCCCAGGCCTGTGAGATTTGTATCAGAGAAAGACCATTCTGACAGCTGAGTGGTCAGTGGGGTAGGGGTGGTGGAGAGGCTGCTTCAGAGCCAGGCAGGGGGCTGTAGGGAGGATAGCTGACTGTGATCACCACCTTTGGTGACTTCAGTCAGTTCAAAGTGTTGTGTCAGCCACCACCACCCATCTTTCTTACTGGCTTACACCCCAAACTCAGACCAGGGGTTCAGACTGAAGGCAGGGCCCCTGTGAGGAGGTTGGAATGATGGAGCCCTGGCAAAGGCGGTACAGCAGGGATGGGTAGAACGGTCGGGTTGAAGATGGTGGGGAATCCAAGGTGTGTGTGCGAGGGATCGGGACAGACGGATTTTCTCTGTGGAGGGAGCAGTGTGGGAGGCAGGTGGCAGACTGAGTGAAGTGACCTGGGGGAACTGAGAAGGGAGACACTGTGTGTGTGCGCGCGCGTGCTTTTTGAGACAGGGTGTTACTATGTAGCTCAGGCTGGTCTTGAATTTACTACCATTCTGCCTCAGGCCCCCAAGTGTGCTTGTATGTATATATTAAATTTGTCTATTTATCTATCTATATAATATGTATGTATACAATGTACATAATTGCAGTCCTGGGTTTGAACTCAGGGCTTCATGCTGGCACTTTACCACTTCAGCCACTCCGACAGTCCTTTTTTATGTTGGGTCTTTTTGAGATAGGGTCTCATGAACTCTTTGCACAGGCTGGCTTCAAACCTTAATCCTCCTGATCTCTGCCTCCCAAGTAGCTAGGATTACAGGTGTGAGCCACCAGTGCCAGACTTTTTTCCCCTGAGATTTAGTTATTTATTTATTTTCTTCTCCAGTTTGAATGCAGGGACTCCTGCATGCCTAGGAAACACTCCACCACTGAGCTCCACCCCCAGCTCCACACACTTGTTTTAGAATGAGGAAGCATAGAGCCTTTTTGTGGTTTGGTTTGTTTTTGTGGTGCTGGGGATGGATCCCAAGGCCTCCTGCCTGATAAGCAAGTGCTCTACAGTCTTCTAGAGCTTTTTTTTTTTTTAAAGGTGAAAGTGAAGAAATTGTGGGAAGGGGATTCTGAGAGTAGGCTCAGCAGTCAGTCAGGAGGAGACACTGCATACCAAGCAGCTGCTGTAGGTGTGGGGAGTGGGAGGACTGAGCCAACCAGGGGCAGGGAATGGGGACCCCAGGACTGACAGTGCAGTCAGGACATCACCCAGGTGCCTCCATGTCAGGCCAGGCTCTCTGCTCCTGTCCTTGGCCCTCTAGGGTTTTGCACATACTATAGGGTCGAATTCATTTCTACTGAAGGTGGAGCACTTTCATACCTTCCCTCCCCTTCCTTTTTTCTTTTTTGTGTAACGGTGCTGGAGTTTGAGCTCAGGGCCTTATGCTTGCTAGGCAGGTGCTCTACCACTTGAGCCACTCCACCAAAGAGCATTAACAGAAGGAAGCTCTGTGCCTGACTGCATCCACTGCTGGGGCACATTGGACCCTGACTTGTTTTCCTCCTCCTTCCCTGGGTGCTGGTGATTGAACCCAGTAACTTGGGCATGCTAGGCAATCTTTCTACCACTGAACTACAGCTGTAGCCTCTGACCCTGCTGTTTAGGGGGAGCCTCATCCTGGGGTTGCCAAGCAGGGCTGGGAGGTGACACTTTGTCCAACTAGCTCAGGCTGAACTTGAAAAGTTCACAGAGTGAGAAGTGGGGGCAGCTCCACAGGTGTTCGGCATCAGCTGTGTTTTGAGTGACTTGCACACAAAATGAAACGTAACTGCCCAACTATTCCTCACGGCAGTGGCCTTGGACCCTCAGTGTCCAAGGTAGTAGGAGTCCCTTTCCAAATTAGGATGGTCTTGGGGTAATATAGGACTTAGCTGGATAGAGCTGGAGGGCATGTTAGCCCCAGGTCAGACCCCCCCCCACCCCCAGTACAAACCCTGTTTTCTTGACTGGGCTGGCAACTTGGGAGGTGTCTGACATAAGAAAACTTTCTGGTTTGTTACAATATCATGTCTTTCTCTTTTCCCTGATTTCTCACTGTACTTTTGTCTTTCTCACTAAGTTGTTGTGTTTTATGAAGTACATTTCCATATGATGTGCATAGATTCCTTTCTCTAAAGGAGAGTCCATTGCAGCTCTAGTCTTGGAAGAAGGTGTGTTCTGAGCAGCAGTTAAATTGAAAGTCATAGAAGTTTCTCAGAGGCTGTGTTCTGATAGTAGGTCCCCTTCTCTGGGGGACCCCCTGGAGCTGTAGTCCTAAAACCCCCAGGAAAACCTGTTGTTGGCCTTGAGAAAACCAGCTGGGGAAAAAAAAAAAACCTAGAGAAAGCTTCCCTAGCACTGCTGAAGGGCCCTGAACAGAAGGTTGTCTTTGCACTCTGGGAAGAAACTTGTCAGTACAAAGTACAGTATTGTCACTGTTATCTCTGCCTGATCATCCTCAGGGAATAGGAATGTCCCAAAATGAATTTAGCTCCTTTGTTTTTACTCGAGCTGGGGAAGATGTTTGTTGTTCACAGAAACCCCGCAGGCTGGGAAGGGCCTGAAGGTTCACTGTGTCCTGGTTTATGGCCCCTGTTTACTCAGGGTTCCCTGGAGGCCCCAGCAGAGAAGGAAGGAGGAGAAATTTTTTCTTTTTTAAACCCAGACTCTCCTCTCTGTGCCATTCTTCTTGGGGGTCTAATTTCACGTTAGACGCTTGTGGCATTGTCCCTGTGGCTATTTGGACAGGTGCCCTTAGAGGCACAGTCCTTTCACAGGAGGGGAGGAATGGCAATCCTGTTCCCCACCCCTGATATCCCACCGTGGTCTAAGCCAGGTCAGACCTG